CTTTGATTTTCTGGTTTGCAATCCAATTTTTAACCCATGATGTCACCAGCTCTCTTGAACTATATTATATAAGTTGATTTCAAGTCTCTCAATTCTGTTTCAGACATCAATATATTTCTCCTATGCCAGCACCTCACTGTCTAATTATAGTTGCTTTGATATAAATTTTGAAACCAGAAAATATGAGATGAGCCATTTGCTTTCTTTTCAAGATTGTTTTTGCCTGTTTTATATCCTTTCACTTTTAGGGAAATATAACATCAGTTTTTCCATTTCAGCAAAAGAAAGATTATAGAGATTGTGATAGGAATTGAATCGAATCGAATCTGTAGGTTACTTTTGGTGTACCAGTATCTGTCTATTCATTTTTTAAATTATGGTAAATATAAATTAACAAAATACTGCCCATTTCAATAACCTTCACATGCACAATTTAATGTCAATAATTCTTTTAAACATAATGTTCTACCAGCCACATCCTTATCATTCCATCTTTTACATTAAAGAAAGCATAGTGTATTTTTTTCTCCATTCCTTCTGCCTACTCCAGGTAACTACTAATAAAATTGGTCTTGATATAGGATGGTTCTCTATATATAAATACCTCTCTCGCTCTCTCTTTCTTTCTCTGATGAAAATCTGAATGCTTTTAGACCCAAATGGGAATTTTCTGAAATGCTGAATTATCTATTTTTAAACAAGCAGTTGACTTAAAACTTTCTATGGAAACTTCTGGTTTTCTGACAGTTCCCAATGAGAGAAATTCTGAAAGTCCACTGGCATCATTGGGACACTGTCTTTGTGAAGGTTTGCTTGAGATGAAAAAGGATATTGCCGCTTCAGCAGTGTTGAACTGTGTGTTTAAAAATGTGAATTACTGTTATTGTATCAGTAGATGATTACATGGGCTGGAAGGTTGTGTCAATGAACTTCACAAGGTTGTGTTGATGTTCTTAGTTGAGTCTTGAAAGGTAAATATCAACATTGCTAGGGGATTTGGGGGGGGGGCGTCGGGGGAAGACACCAGGTTTGGTGGGGAATAAAAATGATGATACTAACACAACTTACCTCGTCTGGAAAACCAGACCTCTTTGAGTCAGCATCGACTCAATGGCAATGAGTCTGGTCTTTCGATGTCTTTCATGACCAAAGGATCCCTGGTTGCCTATAGTTATTCACTGGGCTGCTAACCACATCAATCAGAATGTTATTCATTCCCTTTGAAAACATTCCTGAGCATTGAATGCATTGTGTCTGATATTTCAGTAGCCAATGTTTGTTTTTCATAAGTGCATGTTATTCAAAAATTCCTATAATTTCAAGCTGTGCCCTAATATTTAAAGAGTATGTGTGCTGGAGAATAAAAATATAATTAAAAAAATAATAATAAAATAAAAATAAATAAATAAATAAAGAGTATGTGTGCTTTAAAGAGCAAACTTTTAATATAGCATGACTGTTTGTCTTCATTTGGATTAATAAGTTCATTTTGTTTACTATAACTATGCAACATTACATTTGCAATTCTAATCTTCATGGTAGTTCTCTTTTCCCTATATGTTGATTATTTTATTTTCACTTAATTATGTTCTCTTCAATAATGAGAATCATTTTAGCATTCCATTATGTCTCTCTTCTCTCTTCTTGTATATATTTTCAATATATCACAAGAGAAATATGAGATTTTCTATTTCCATAAATATTTATGGCTTCAGAAATCCACAGGAAAAATTACTCTCTGTCCATAGAGTTGCTATGAGTTCCAATTCACTAATTGGTAGTGTATTTGGTACAATATATAGAGATCCAAATGTTTTCAAACAAAAATTGGGTCTATCAGAGTTCAAACTCATTTACTAAAATTAAAGTGTTCCCATCTTATTATAAGATGGCACAACTTCTCCACTTTTCCACAGAAATTTTTAAGAGAAAAGTTATGATTTTTCTAATAAAGAAGCTTGGAGTTACCCTCACCTGTGAAATATTTAACAAGAATTATTCATTGACTTCTATAGATTCCAATGTGTTCTGAAATATTTATAATGAGTTCTGAAATATTTACTGCCTAAATTAAGAAGAAAAATTGAGCTCTTCAAAATATTGATGAAAATTTCTATGAATAAGGGTAGTATAGCACCACTGAATTCACACATCATTCCTCTAGTAACTAGAGTCTAGTTCCTGAATGCTTCCTCCCCACCCTCCCTGCCTCCCAACTACCATGGCTCAGTTCTATCTTCTAATTTGGCTAGACCAGAAAACACACATAGGTGCAGATAAGAGCTCTCGACACAGGGAATTCAGGACAGATAAACGCCGCAGGAACAGTAGTGGGAGTAGCAATATCATGAGAGGGGAGGGGGATGGCCTGGGAGGGGGAATGGGGAGAAAGGGGAAACCTATCACCAGGCTGCGTAGATAGCCCCCACCTCCCCGAAGGGGAAAAATAACAGAAATGTGGGTGAAGGGAGACAATGGGCAGTGTAAGATGCAAAATAATGATAATGAGGGTGAGG